CGTGCATCCGGTGGTACTTCCATGTCGATGATCGCAAGTACGTGAGCTTCTTTCAAATGCGAGCCCCACTGCGGACGCGGACGCTGTCCTTTGCATCTTTTCGATCGATTGTACTCGTCGATTGCTTTCATGAATTTTGCCATCAACGGCACTGGAAGAATGAGACTCCGGTTTACAAAATCATGTGCAGGGCTGCAATTCTCCGGTAGTCAGGTCGCACACAGAATGTCCAGAGGATCGTGGAACACTGTATTAGCGTAGTTTACATTTCTGAAGAAATACACAGCGTTCACATCGAAGGCTCCGGCAATCACTCTTCGCATGAAAATGGATTGATCCTCCATCTGATCGTGTGCCGCTTCCTCGTCTTCCTTGGTGTCCTTTGGATTGAGTCGTTGTCCTCGTGATGAAAATATCTCACGGAAATCATCAGGGGTGTAGTACCCACATTCCAAAACGTAGATCACCAGCTTCTTGGAATTAAGAGAACCGCGGTATGATCTAATGAACCCATCTTCTCCCAAGTCATCAGCGTGTGCTGGTATACCAACCTTCTGATATTGGGCCCTCAGATGGTATTCTTGAGGTTCGATCAGTTCTCCCTCATCATTCACTCCAAGATAAGGAATCTTTGGATCCAGGTCAATGCGTAGCTCCCCATGAGGCTGGAATTGCCTCCCTCCATATCTCCTCAATGGGTCCGCAATAGTTCCGGTGGAAGTTCTGGAGGATTTGTGCAACATTTGATCCGATTGCGAGCAAGAGCAAGTTGATGAGGTCAGGCCGAGCATCTCCAAGTATGCATGAGTTTAAGCCCGGAGGGGTCTTCGAGCCAAATTGGACTCTCTCCATCCATTTGGGGAATTCCATTGCATCACGGACCTTGCCGCCTTCGAACTTTCCAACGTCCATTTCTTCCTCTTCTGCTGCGTCCTTCTCCTCGGTCTCTTTCTTTTCCCCATCAAGGAACTCATCCACCTCGTCCTTTTCACCCTTCTCCATCCTTTCTTGCTTGAAGTTGTTCAAATCTTCATCTTCATCCTCCTCTTTCTTGTCCTTGGCACTCCCCAGGACTGGCTCTTCAGTAGGAAGTTCGTCATCCGCGTCGACATCCTGCTCTTCCTGCACGCGTTCCCATGCTTGCTTCACATGGTCCTTCACGTCTTCGGCTTCAGGATCTTTGTCGAACGTCTCGGTGATGACCGACTTCTTCAAGCTCTGTCGGATGTGGGAAAGGCACATAGACAAAACCGCCGGAGTTTCCGAGAGGCATGCCGGGCACAATCTGCATCCTGGTTTGACAGGTTTGTGCACCATCGTCAGCAAAGAAATGGCTTCAGTATGCTTCAGTGCATTGTTGTAGCTTTGGATGTAGTCGGAGCTGCTATGACTGATGTGCATTCTTGATCACCATGGGTTGTCTCATCTCAAGTTCATCAGGCTGCATCACAGATGACATTTTCGACCAGTTCATCGAAACTGTTGATCGTGACCAGTTGGTCGTGTCCTCCACGCACCAACATCCTGTAGTAGCCTCTGTCACTGGGGTTCTTGTGCCACATGGCGTCACATGCTGAGAAAGGGATGGTTTGTTGTACCATGATGTGGCCATCTGCGGACAGTCTGGCACCAAATTCGGACAATGATTCTGAGGTCAGGTAGATGTATACTGAGTTGAATTTGACAGTGCTCTTGGATCTACGGTCCCAAGGAGCAAAAAAGTATCAGAAAAGTGTTGATTCTGTCGCCCTCCACCGGGTCGTAACCCTTCTTGGAACATCCCGGCCAATGATCTTCCTCCGAGAACATGCCCCACCCCCGGGTTGATGCGGTGTGACAGTCTCCATGCTTCGATCTGAGCTCCACCAGGAAGCTTTGAGTGTCCCATTGGCGCCCTGATGGCTACAGGCCATAACCACACTTCGTCATCGTCATCTCCAATCTCAATGCGAAGCTTGTTCCGGTTGATGGTGGACAAGATTCGATGTCGCGGGTCCACGCGCACAACCTGTCTCAATTCACCACTTGTCGCTTTCAGTTCAAGAATCTGTGCGCGGACTCGATGCAAATTCCTGAACTCAGTGTAGATCACCTGCATGAATGGGTTCCACCTTTCGATGACTTTCCTCCAGTCGGCAGTGTCAGTGCCGTCGAGAACATGGGAATTCTTCCATAGGTGATCGTACTTCATGAAGTTCTCAATGTTGACCCATGCCCCTTCATCGCACGGCATACCTGAGAATGTCTTCTTGTCTTGCCTGCACCCAACGGAGTGTCGAAGGGCAGCGTTGATCCTCTTGGAAAGTTCATGGAGCCATCCAGGTACTTGCCCTCGTCTTTCGGCTCTGAATCCCCATGGGTACTTGTAGGGTTTTGGAGGTCTCGAGGACAGGAGCTTCCTTGCTTTTCTCTTTCGGAGTATTGGCATTGTTCTGTGCGATACGTGGTGTGTTAGAATGCATCTGCTTGGATGGAGCAAGCTTCGGGGCATTTTTGACATCACCATTGGTAGGAGGAGCATCTTTCGTTTTAGAAGCGGAAGCATCAAAACAAACATGTCTGGCAGGTTCTTGTTCACTGGTGTATTGGCGAACCAAGTTTTGCAATTTTTGCTGTAATCCATTTGTGTTGTTGGTTTGTTGGTATGAATTCGGCACGTGTTGACAATCGTCTGAAGATCGTCTAAAAGATCAGAGTGATCAGTTGAAGCAACAGGAGTCTTTTCGGCATGCTTTTTCCTGGTAACTTCTGTCCATCCATCATTACGCAGGGAAGTATCAGGCAAAGGTTTCTGAGATTCTTCTTTCTTGGCATTTTTGCACTCTTCTAAGAGTTTGCTGGGACCATCGAGAAGAGTTTGTTCAGATCTCTTTCTCTGAGCGGCTAGTGAGCCAGCTGGCATACCTCCACGGAGGGTCCAGGCCAGCTTCCCGTCGATCTTGGGTGGTGCTTCTCTTGCATCTTTTTGTGGTTCAATACTGGTTGGCAGCTCAGTATTGACTCCAGTCACTTTCAAAACAAATCCATGGAGCAAAGCCCCACACAGAAAACGCGGTGTGGAAATTCCAAGGCAAAACTTGCTGCAAAACAGAAAGGTTCTGGCAATCAAAGTCTGTCTGTGCATCCTTTTGCGTTTGGCAGGCACTGCATAGCGCCTTCGGCCTATCCATCTGGCGGGTCTCACGTGCTTTTGAGTCCTTTTCGCTCTGCTGCAACAGCCCGTATTGACCAAGTACCGAGATCTTCTTGGCACCAGCGAAGATCCTGTACGTGGGGTAGGATCCCTTGACAATGCTATTCATATTGATCGGTAGACCGTCAGAGATAGACCGATAGATTGATAGAGAAAGACAGAGATAGATAGAGACAGATATATAGAGAGAGAGATAGAGATAGATAGAGATAGATCGAGATAGATAGAGGTAGATAGAGATAGCTAGAGATAGATAGAGAGGGAGAGAGAGATAGAGATAGATCGAGATAGATACAGATACAGATAGATACAGATACAAATAGATAGATTTAGATAGATAGATAGATAGACTTAGATTTAGATAGAGATAGAGGTAGATAGAGACAGATAGAGATAGATAGAGTTAGATAGAGGCAGGTAGAGGTAGATAAAGATAGACAGAGATAGATAGAGATGATACAGACAGATAGAGATAGATAGACAGTTAGATAGATAGAGATGATACAGACAGATAGAGATAGATAGACAGTTAGATAGATAGAGATGATACAGACAGATAGAGATAGATAGACAGTTAGATAGATAGAGATGATACAGACAGATAGAAATAGATAGACAGTTAGACAGTTAGACAGTTAGATAGATAGATAGATAGATAGATAGATAGATAGATAGATAGATGATGATGATGGATGGATGGATGGATGGTTAGTTAGATAGGTAGATGGACAGATTTAGATAGATAGACAGATTTAGAAAGATGTCCTCCTGGAGTGGATAGATCATGGAAAATAGAAAAATAATCACTGACTCCAAGGGGGGGGGCACACGTTTACAATTGAAGTCTTGCATACCTTCACACACTGCTCCACCTGCAAACAACCGATATTCAACTATTTGCATTGAATTGTTCATGGTCACAACGTCCATGTGGTTCCCGAATCCATTGGCTGCGGGGTGTGGGTTGTGAACTCCTTGTGAAAAATGCGGGAGTCTTGGTTGTAGTAATCTTTATCGATATTGTTATTAGCCACTGGTATCCACTGGTTGTCTACCACTATTGTGTCTTGCTAAGCCACTATACAGTAACAGTCAGTTTCTCATGAGCCACGTCGTGGTGGATTCTGTGGTGACGCTCTGGTTACGTGTTCATGTGGTGAGTTGTGGTTTCATGTCTTGCACACTCAAGACATTTTATTACAATGGGCTTGGCGGCCCTGGCTCAGTTGTGCATGAAGTAGGGCAACACATGGTTCCGCAGCAGCGGGGCTGTAGATGGTTGTTGATAGTCACATTCAGGCTGTTCATGTGTTGTTTGAATTGATTGCGGATGCTGTGCTTGGCTCAGAAGCATCTTCAGTTTGTGACGGGCCATTTCTTGCTCTTGAATTTGTTGGCTGTCTCAAATAATCTCCTTGAAGTTCCGGCGTGGCTGTTCTTCGTGCGGGCTACCGGCTACCTTGCCTATTGTGTTCCGGCAAACCTTCAACAGCCACTCTGGTGCCTGTGGTCTTTTCGTTGCGGTGATCTGGTGATTATACAAGATACTCGCTCACACATGTACGAGAAGGAGCCGTTGCACAATCAGGGAAGGACTGTCATTGGACTGTACAAGATTTGGTTTAAACACATAATAGACATAGAACTTTAAGGCTTAAAGGGAATAAGCATGACGAAGACAGCATAGAATACGACCATACTGAATAGCAAAACAAGCGCAAACCTTGAAAAGTTACACAAGATAGCAAATGATAGCAGGATGAAGGCAGCTTCAGTTGAATGACAAAAGAAAACAGCCCTTGGGATCCCTCGGGTGCTTGAGAGCGATACGCTCGTGTTGCCACCGTCACCTTGGTGAAAGTTCAACAAGTTGGTTTAGCAAGTAAAAAAACAGTTGGTTCAGTAAGTTGTCCTCTTGTTCTCTTGTTGGGATCCGCCATGGATCCGGAAGGATCCAGAAAATCATCACAGTTAGATCCCCTTGAGTCAGCGCACATTTCGCCGGCCCGGCTTCAGGCAACGGCCCAGGTCCTGCAATCTGGTGATCTAATGCCAGCTCATAAGAAACTCAGAAACTCTGCCTAAAGTCACTACCTCATATTACATCCCACTGTATCCAGAGGCCTGGTCAGGAAGCTGTTCCTCCAAAGAGTAGTACCTCACGGTCAAGACTCAAGACTTGGCGCCATTTGATCTGATCCACTGCGAAAGAGACTCATCTCCGTCACTCCGTCCTGCCATAGATACATCCTCATACAGTCACATACAAGTATCTGATTCATCCTGACTCTATATACACCATTCTGCGTCCACATCAAAACATATCTATCTACACTCTACACCCAGATTCTAGACCTGCAGAATTGTTCGAATTGTTCCCATTGTCGCGCCCTTGAATGCAACTCTTGGCAGTGTAGTCGCTGATCCCAGACCTGCAAAATGACAAGGTTCTCTTTTGCATTGCATTCAGTGCATCATGCAGTGGCTTCAAGTTGTTTTGACAGGACACAGATCTAAGGACAGAGCTTGACACCGTGCCGGAAGTCAGGGTCGAGTGGAGGACCATTGGCCTGCCAGGAGCAACTTTTCCTTCACTGAAGATGTTATACCAAGGGAAGCCGTGAAGCCAAATGCGAAACATGAAATTTCTCACCGTTGAGAATGCATGACGATGCATGACGATGCTGTTCAATCCTGTTGTCTTCAATCCTGTCGTCTTCGTACTTAATCGATCTTAATCGGTCGGGCTGACGCCCTGCATAGGATGACTCTTGTGGTAGACCTGCAGGCAGTCGTTGACCCTGACGCAAAACCTTAAAAAACTCAGCAAGAATCAAAAAATCTCTTGAGTCTGAGAAGTTGTCGTCTAGAGAAACACAAAAAGAGGCCGCAGGTGGCAAGTCTGCAAAATGCATTTTGTTTCGGCCTTGGTGTGGTGAACATTGCGGAAGTCCTGGCCAAAAAATGTACCGTAAGTCCTACAAACACACGTGGATCAGCCGTGTGGATCAGTCGTGTGAGGCTATGTTAAAAACTGACTGACAGTATTTGGAAATGCTGTCAAGCAGGTCTTTGCATGATGTCTGAACATCCTAGCACCTTAGAACTTCAGCAAGATCATGTGCTTTCAAAAACCTCTGCGTGACTTTGCCCTACAGAATCAAGTTGCGTCGCAGTCAGCTGAGATGTGATGTGTTTTTTTGTTATCCCCAATTGAAACAGGGACGCTCAACAAGCATCTACTCCAGACTGTACCCCATGATTCAGAAACTGTCACCTGAGGAAATTCATCTCTCAATAACTCAATTGGAACGTTGACACTGTTGACACTGAGTCTGAGCAGGACCTCAGCGTTCTTCTGCACGAGACGAGTTTTTCTCACGGATCCTTTGGAACGTGAACTTGGCAAAACCTCCACATGCTACTCCAACATCTCAAAGCTGTTGTCACTCATATGCGGGAAAGCTTCCATCGTCTTCTACTTCCCAATTCAGCGCCTCGAACAGACATTGAAAGATAGGCTTGGCAAGCAGCTAGCACAAATCCGGTGGGTTCCTTTACGAGGGGTGAGGTTCAATGCTGTTTTCCTAACAGCTCAAAGATAAATGCCTAACTACATCTTTCTCGAGCAACATAATGAAGGACTTAAGCAAAAAATTGTTCTTTTCAAACACGGCACACAGTGTTTAATTGCACCGGAAACAAACAATTTTACATTATATGATTATATAATATTATATAGTGTCTGAGTGTCTATTGTATGCTTGGAAAGAATTTTACGCAATTGCATGTCCCTGGAAATTCTATGCGGTTAGGAAAGTGACACCCTTTACAAGGGAAGGGGCATCAATCCACAGTGGCAACAAGCCGCAGTGGCACCATCATCCGTACAAGTTCAACTGGCAATGCAATCAACCTTCTCTACGTGTATCTCCCCTTATCTCCCCGCGTCTCCCTCTGTGCTCCCTGCTAGTCGAGCGCCAGCGCCTTCCTCAGGGTTTCAAGGCAACGAGCATCGATGCAACTCCCGGATTGACTGTCTCAGGTTCTTGAATTCTTCAATGTATAGATTCATATGGTCCAATATGGGACGTGGGTTCGCAGCTGAGCAAGTGAAAACGCCAAGATTTTGAAAGCACCACTGCCTGCGGCTGCCCCAGTCCGTGCCCAAAGCGGAAACGAGAGTCCTGTCAATTGAGCTATGGTTCGGTCCAAGAAAAGTAAGCAAGCACAGCACAAGGCTCAACATTATATAAAACGCAAAAATGTTTGAGGCCTAACGCAGCTTTTGCGACAGTTTGAGAAAGACATAGCGTGCTTTCCCTGCTGGCATTTGTCCAACTAGACGACGGATGGCCCGAGAGCGTAGAGGAGCAGAGTCTTCTGTTGTTAGTATGGAGACACTATATTACAAGATAATATGATAAAGATGTATTATAGGCAGACGAGAAGAGTAGCATCAAGACAATATATGACTAGTACAAGACAATAGTTTGCATCGTATTTTTGTAAAGTTTTTCATACACAGAACTTTTTACAGACAGACGCTTTTGCACACAGAGACTTTTACACACAGACGCTTTTACACACAGACGATTTTGCACACAGAGACTTTTACACCCAAACACTTTTACACACAGAGACTTTTACACACAGACGATTTTGCATACAGAGACTTTTACACCCAAACACTTTTACACACAGAGACTTTTACACACACAGACGCTTTTACACACAGACGCTTTTACACACAGAGGCTTTTACACACAAACACTTTTACACACAAACACTTTTACACACAGACGCTTTTACACCCAGACGC